TCTACCACTATTCTACTGTCCTCATGTCATGATTGTACTTAGGGTGGTGAGCCACTGATCCAGAAAAGCTGTGGATGCTCCATCCCTGGAGGTGCCCAAGGCCAGGCTGGATGGGACCAGCCTGCTCTGGTGGGGTGCACACAGCCCACAGCAGGATGGGCTCTAAGATCCTTTCCAACCCAAGCCATTCCACGATTCTCTCGTTGGCACGAGCGCCATGGATCATCCCCACAGCTCCCGTTGAACCCAGCGGTGTTTTTGTGTCAGCAATGCAGTCAGGATGGAGGTGGGATGCAGCGAGCAGACGACGTGTTATTGCATCCCTGCAGCTCCCATCCCAGCAACCCTGGAGCCCTCTTGAAAGGCACTGCGGGGCACAGGAGCGCGACAGACGGTCGCATGCTGAGCACAGCCAACCCCATTGCCCTGGGACAGCCTCAGATAACGGGTTTAGGTTTCCAAGGTGGTGGGGTAACATCAGCGAGAAGCAAATATTTGGCCAAATGCACCCTGAGGTAAGCTGGTATCCGGTGTAACCACACAGCATGCCCATATGTTATTACTTATCCATCAGCCTCTTTGAGTAACGACGTACAGAGCCGGGGCGAGAGTTGGCTTTTGTCAAGCATATATTTCAGCAGCGTTTAAATAAACTCATCGAGCTGCACGTCTCGTGAACTTTCCTATTCCATCTGTCTGCGCCGAGCCACCCGTGGAAAGAAATGGATGAGGCCTTCAAACCTTCTCCAGTGCCCGGAAAATGAGGCAGTCCAGTTAACAATAAATGGTGGCCAATTGGGGCACACATGAGCGGTCTGGTGAGGAAGAAAAGAAAGTTGAGCTTAATGAAGTCCCTGCGCCCGCGTCCCCGTGCGTGGACAGGAAAGGACGGGTGGTTTATAACTGTTTATTGGAGTTAATGGTAATAAATTCCTCACTTGTGATGCATTAACTTTAATGTTTTCATTACGTGATGATTTAGGTTTTCCCTTTTCACGTTGTAAATCATGTTGTCCCGGTAGCACAGCAGGTCGAATGTCTGACATAATGTTATGTTTGGGGGAGAGAAATAACAGGGGAATGAGTTACATAGGTTATATATTTATGTATCTAATATGCTGCATTTTTCTGCGCGTGTGGTTTGGGGGGGAGTTTGGGGTTGGGTTTTTTGTTTGTTTGTTTTTGAAGGACTTTAAGAAACTGCATCCTGGTGAAGCCCATGGATGGGTGGATGGACAGACCCAACCGAGAGCAAATCTGCAAGTTGCTGCTGCAGAGCCCTACGAAGGGATGGTTTCCATGGCAACTCCCCAAATGCTCTTGGTGCTGAGGGTTTTTTTTTTCCCTCCCTCTTTGCTGAGTGCAAGCCCTTGGCTAATGAGCTGTGCAAATAGATATTGAGATTTAGTGTTTTTTATTTTGCAATTATAGACTTAGCGATTTGGAAGGAAACTTTTGGGCCAAAGGCTCTCTGCCTCCTCTTTGAATTCCCTTTTTTTTTCTTTTTTCTTTTCTTTTTCCCCTCTATTCCCTTGGCAAAGTTGGTTCGACTTCAAACTCGATGTCGAATTTTCCAGACCAAATAAAAAACAACTGCTGAAGTTGGAAGGTTTTTTCCACCCTCCTGGGCCCGACCTGCAGTCAGCTCTCTGCCATCGCCCGTCTCTTCTCTTGTTTGCTTATCAATCATACAAACCACATTCATGGACTCCCCTGGAAAAACAGCAGTGTACCCAACATTCACTTGGCACCTCACAACGGTCCATCTGTACGCCTCTATTTATTTCTGTTTGGTCATTAGATGTGATCCAATAAGAGCTTTAGGGACAGCGTCGTTAATTGGGCACCATTCAACCTCAGGTGAGAAGTGCTGTTTTCTTGAGTCCTTTCCATGGATTTTGTGTTCACTCCTGGCTGTCAGCACTTGTCAAAGCCCCCACAGCTGCTGGGGACTGCTTAATGTTGGTTCTTGCCTTCAATACTGCTCTGTGTTGCTGCTACAAGAGGACATTGAGCAGCGCCCAGTGGGGGTCTGTCCAAAGGAAGCACTGGGATTTCAGCTTTCCGAGGAGCTCTCTGGGCAACCCTGGGATTCCTTGGGGCAGTGTTGGGCTGCTGAGCTTGGGAGCCCCTCCTGACATCATCATTTCATCAATTCATCATTTCCTCTCGATTATTTCCATTGATTTCTGACTGCCTCCTGCTTGCTGATTACCTTTCAGTCTTGGCAGTTATCCTGGGGTGGATGCCTACACTCTGAGCTTTGCCTACAAGCCTCTTATGAGAAGTCAAGCCAAAGCCCAACTAGATCTTCTCCACCACCCCTTACCTTTTTCTTCATCTGCTTTCTTATTTTCCTGCTCAATACAACAAAATCCGTCTGGCACCAGCTCTACTTCTGGCAATCATTTAATCCCCCATTTTCTTTGAACCAGTTGCTCATTTCATTCCCATCCATACAAATGATGCTCGCTTCTGTAGGGTTGAAATTCCCACTGGACCAAACCTCTGCACACCACCACTCAGCCCTGGCCATCATGGGCCCGTTGGCCATGGCTTCAGTCGCCGGTGGGACTTGCAAAACCCTTCAGCTCTCTTTGAAGGCGACAGGAGGGGTTGTTTGTCTGTTTCTGATTCTTTTTATCCTCATTAGCTCCAATGGAAAAAAAAGACTGCAGCCACCACTGGGAGCTTTGGGAAATCACAGCCGATTGTGCTCTGGGTTTGCAATGTATTTGGGTGTTCCCATTGAAGTCCCCTGGAGGAGAATCTGCTCTTGGCACGTCTGAGCTTGGTGAATAAGCCAGAGGATTGGGAATTAGCTGCAAGCCTCCGTGCTCCATCCCTTTGAACGCTCAGTTAATGTGACAGTGTGGGCACGAGCGCAGCCCCCAGGCTGGTTTGGCTGCAGCTGCTGTGACATTTGGTGCAGCTGGTGTGCATGACTCAGAGAGCAGAGGGCTGAGTGCTGGAACACAGAGGGCTTTGAGGACATGGTGAGGACGGGCTGGAACGGTCACGATGCTCAGCGGGCATCCCAGTGTTCCTCTGCTCCTTCTGCTGGGCTGGGTGGGCTGGGGAAGGAATAGAGATGGAAGGGACCTTCGTGCCCACGGAAATGCAGGAGCTGCCAAGAGGGGCCGTGTGTCAGGGAGGGCACAGCTGGTTCTCTGCGATGGATTTCAGGCTTTTTCTTTTCTCTCTGTCTTGATAAATGGTGGGTGGCTCTTTGTGGTTGGAAGAGATGAGCGGGCCATGGGGCAGTGAGCTCGGGTTTACCTGTGAGCTGTGTGCCCTGAGGTGGAGGATCTAACGAGGCCACCCAAGCAAATGGACCCTCAGTCTGAGAGGGCTGCGGTCCCACCTGGCCCCCCCCCTGGTTTTCCAAGTGTCCATTAGGACAGTTTAAAGACATAAAACCCCAGGGATGGTCTTTGCAGGTTAATTCAGCCATTTGTTGCTAGCAGAAGCCATCTGGATTGCTATTATGGGGCAGCTGGGGGTGCAGGGAGGGACAGGGACACCCCCACGGCTCCCACCTCCCCTAGATTTAATCCTCCTGGCTCTGCACTGCCAGGGCTGCATCAGAGAGGCTGTGCTGTTCGTGTCATGTTCTGTACAACTTCACATTGCCAGAGCCTCGTGCAATCTAATCAGCCCTCGCAAGCCCTCCCTAATTGTATTTGCTTGTCTGAGCAGCCACTGAGTATTTAAGAAGGAGAGTGCCTCCGTTTGCTCTGATTCTCCTGTTGGGAAGCAGCAGCGCCGTGTCTTTTGCTGGATCCTGGCAGAGTTTTGGGACGATGCTGCTGAGACGCTGAGCAAATCCAAGCTGCAGTTAGAGGGCCGCCAGCTCCCAAACCTGGGGCACCAATACTTGGGATCTGCCCACCAGCAAAATCCGAGCTCAAAGCAGGGCAGGGCTGTGGGGCTGCAGCACGACGAGCAGGCGGCGATTTCTTTCAGTCTTGGGGAGCGGGGGCAGAGGGAAGCCGCATGCTGATAATGTACTGAAAGTAAATGAAATTAAACAAGCGAAGCAGCACTGGCAGCTCCTGCTTTCCCCCCCTGGGTAATTCAATTCGAGCTCTCGCGCTGATGGGATCTCGCCAGGGCTGCCTCTGTCACCCCGCTGGGGCCTGGAATCTTAACGTCTAAATAAAAGTTTCACTCAAGCATTTTTTATGCTCCTGCCAGCGGGATCGGCGAGCTGGCGTTGGGCACATTAATGTAATATTCATACTCGCAGGGTCTCCCTGTGCACCCGGCAGCACCGTCCCATTTTCATAATTATAAATGTCCCATAAAATGACATTCAGATTTGCATTAGCTGAAGGGGTCGAGGCTCGGGTTGGAGAAGGAAATGTGCTTTTTCTGCCAGTCGGGAGCGTCGTGCTGCTGTATGGAAAAGGCTGGGAAGGTTTGCTCCCTGCATGGCTGCTTTTCCCCACCTCGGTGGAGGGATGCCAGCCCAGCACCTGGGGACACAGCAGGTGATATCAGGCCCTGCTGGCACCTCTGTGGGGCCCTTTGGGGTTGGTCACCAAGGTCCAATTTGGGGACGTGGCAAGTGCTGTTATTCTGCACTGCCACCTTAGGAACAACCTCCTGCTTCTTAATGCAGCCCTGAGAGAGAATTTAGGTCCTTTTTGACACCCGTGTTTGTTTTCCTTGTAAGAAACATAAGAGTATTTGTATGAAGGTCTGGATTTCCCTCCTGCTCTCAGCTCCCTGTCCACCTGTGTCCTGGGCAGAGGGCTGAGCCCCAAACCCACTTGTAATGTGTGCCATCAGTGTGAGTCCCTCGGAGAGAGGAGGGATGGAGCTTGCAGGGAGCACTGAGGTGGGCAAGCTGCCTCTTTGGAGGACCCCTATGGGCAGTGTGCTATCTACTAAGGGTGTGCACAGTTGGAAGGTCTTGGAGGGATCTGTTCCTCTCTGTGCACATGGGTTGCATGGCATGGACTGGAAATGACCAGGCTTTGCTTTGATGCTTGCAGGAATGGAGGAAATCACAACGAGGCCTGTTGAAGACACAGGAAATATTCTGAAGCAAGGATATCTGGAGAAGAGATCCAGAGGTGAGGCCTGAGGAGTGCATCAAGGCTGGGGGGGCTCCACTTGGGCTGGCTTTTGTTCTGTCTGATGAGGTGAAGGAAGGTGGTGAGTGAGATGGTGGGGGAAGGCTTTGGGTGGATGAGCTGCTGTGGTTCACAGCCATCCTGAAGAGCTCAGCACACTCAGGTCATCACCAAGAATGCAAAAAATGTCAGATGAAGAACAAGCAGGAAAATATCTCTTTATTTGCAGCGGCTTCAGGAGCCACAAGCAGACATTCAGACCTTTCTTAATGTACCAGATGCAAAGGGAGAGCACAGCCCTTCTTTATGCTCCTCCATAGATCCTCAAGCTGCACAAAGATTAAAACCCAGAATCTGGATTAAGCAGAGGCTTCGTCCTCTGAGGCAAAACGTGCCATCCTAACCAGCCATACCTAATGAGGATAAAGCCCTGCTGAAGAGAAGCTGGTTCGTAGCATCACACACGTTAACGAGCTGAGAGAAGTGAGGCAGCCTCAGGTTTATCTTGATTTTACTGACTCTTGTGAAAGACACAAATTATTTCCCCAGATTTCGGCTTGATCTGTTTGCTGCATGACAGGTGGGATGGGGTGAGAACAACCCCTTTCTTCCTTGTGCTCATAAGTTGAGCTGTGTCACTGGTCCTGTGCATGCAGTAGCTTGCTCCAATTACAGAGAAAAAGACCTTGAAGCTCAATTAGGAATGTTTCACCTAAAGCTGTGTTCTTTCCTGCTAAGTCTGCCTTGCTCTCCTTGCTTTAGTTGAGGTTTTGCACCTAAACTTGCTTGCCTGAATTTTGTTGGGAAACAGAAATCTTTTCCCACCCCATTTGTGTGAGATCCTTGTTCAGCAGAAGAACAGCAATGAATGTATTTATTCCTGTGTTGTGTTTTTCCTTTCTAGACCACAGCTTTTTCGGGTCGGAGTGGCAGAAGAGGTGGTGTGTCCTCCACAGAAAGACCTTTTACTACTATGCCAATGAGAAAAGTAAGTGGTGAGGCACCCGCCTCCATTCCCCAAACTGTGGGCAGTGGCTGAAGGTGTGGATAAGGCTGGGAAAGGGGATATAAGAGCTTCGACCACAGGGCAGGCCGATACCTGGCAAGAAAAGAGCACAGGCTGTGGTCCATTTCCTTCCCTGCAGCTTCAGGAATTGATTTGGCTGAAGAAACCTGGATTCAGACATTCATTCAGAGCACAGCAGTGCCTGGAAACGTCCTCCTTTGGGAAAGGGTGGCTTTGAGGGCATGTGGTCCCCAGGAGCCCCCCGGGGCGCTCGATCCCAAAGGCAAATGAGGCAATTAGTGTAAAAAGGAGCAAACGTGCCCTCAGTGTTCATCTCTGATAAAACCGAGATGTGGGCTGCAGTTTCCAAAAGCACTGAAGGGACCTGGATGTCATCTCAGCTTCCTCCTGCTGAACCCCCACTTTCTTTTCTTCTGCATAAGACAAAGAAGAGGATGGCTGTAACTCCCTATCAAGAAAAAACATACAGGCTCTTGTAGAAAAGCCTATCTCAGCTTGCTTTTTATTTCCAGTCCCCCAACGTCTTTGTAGGAAGGGAGCAAGACAAGAGAAAGACAGGGACAGAGCTGCATGTAAATAAAGTGACACACCAAGCTTTCCATTAGCCATCAGCTGGGCTTCAGCCCCCTAAGTGGCTGTATATAACCCACACGTCAGTGTGTATAAATATTTTGCAGTCGTGCTCCATCAGGTACATACAAACAGACAGCTAATATCTCCAGCACAATGAGATATATGGCCTGCCTTCCTCTGTTCCACCCATCCAGCATCGTGGCCTGTTAACTGCTTGCAAAATACACACATACATCCTTGGTTTGCAATGGCCACTCTGCATCAAACTCCAGCAGCTTATGGGGATGGAGCTGAATCTTCTCTGCCTTTTTCCACCTCCTTTGAGGATGCTGGGTGCTGTTTGCAAAGGGTTGCAGATGAGCTCGAATGCAAGAGCTGACACAGCATTGTTCTGGTGGGAGATGGACAGCTGTCAGCTCCCAAACGGTCTCCAGAAGGCAACAGAGTAAAGCAAACCTCTTCCTGATGGACTGAATGTTTTTCACAGGGCTGGGCTTCATCCACATAAAAAAGTTAAGGGCAGCTGCCCGAATCACACTCCCACACTTACTCAAGAAGATTCATAAGGAAATAATGAGCTGGCTATCCAGCTGGGGTAAATAAACGTGCCTCAAACGATGGCAGTGATGTTCTCTCTCTCCAGCCTGGCTGCTGGGGCCGTGTGTGTGCATCTACAGCATCCATAGGCCAATCCTCCCAGGCCCCACTAAGCATTTCTTCCTGCACACCGACCCACTAATTCCTTACCAGCACAAGAGCCGTTGCTATCATATTTCCCCAAGTACACAGTGGTCTTTGCTTCATTACAAGCAGCTCATCTCATACAACCCCGTGACCCTGGCAACCTTTCAGTGGCGGCTCGCCGTCTCTGGAGGCTTAAAATTGCATCCTCTTTACTGTGTCTTTATGAAGATTTTATAATGTTCTCTTTAGATTTCCAGGGGGGGGGGGGGGGAAAGATGCTTAGATTTGCTCCCAGTGCTACATGATAGAGCTCAGTTTCCCAGCATGGGCAACAAACATCTGCCCCACACACGAGGGTTTGATAAAAGATGTAAACTCCAGAATTCTTAATTTCTCTTCTCCCAGGCAAGCAACCTAAAGGCACCTTCTCCATTGAGCATTATACCGCCCGGCTGGCTTTCCATCTCCGCAAAGACTCACGCAGAAGATGCTGTTTTCAATTAGTCTGCCCTGGGAAACGCACCTATGAGGTAGGAGCTGGGGGAAGAAGAGGAGCCTTGGTGTTGTTTGATCTCAGCTTGGGAGCTCATGGTGCCAGATCCAAGGCACTGGGTGGACCTGCAGGGTTGGGGAGGCTGTGAACCTGCAAACGTCAGTCTCCAGTTCAACAAAACAAGAATCATAGGATGGCCTGGGTTCAAAAAGGACCATGATAATAATAATAACAAGCTCTGCAGAAGGTGCTGGTGCTTCTCCATCTCATCCAGTCACCTCCACATGGACCTGCAGGTGACCCTGGGCTCTCTTTGTGCTCGAAGGGCAGAAGGGTTCAATGAGAACACTGGGTTTGGAAAAGCCCGTTTTTAAATAAGCTCTTCAGAGCCTTGCTGAATTTAAACTTCCCATCTGTTGAGCCTGGTGCAATGAAAAACGTGGTCCAATGCACAGCTCCTCCCAGGGATTCAGGGAGACTTTGGAATCTAGAGCCTCGGTTCACAGTCAGTGCTGTATATTCAATAGGGATTGTGGTTTTCATCTGAATTCTTGTAATGAATTAGGCTTGACAGCCTTCCTTTGGGATAGTCTAGCTTTGCTCTGCTTCTGCTTCCCTGTTTGGAATAGGGAGATAAAGAAGTGAAATGGCTTCCCCACAGCCCCCAGGACAGACAATGGCAGATCCAAGCACTCAATCCCTTATTTTAGTTCCAAATCTTCCTCCTCTTCGTGCATTCAAGAAACAGCACGGTAACAGGTGAACCTCTCTCCAGTTCACAGCCCCAAGTCCAGCAGAGGCTGAAGATTGGGTGGATCAGATCCAGTTCCTCCTGAAGGGTGAGTCTGATAGCTTGGCCCAAGCCAACCCCAATCACTGGGGCAAATCCCTGCAGCCCTTAAGCCAAGTCCCTGCAGGATCCTGTTTATCCCCAAGGCCCTGCTGGGGTCACAGCAGAGCTCAGAGGAGGATCAGGAGCCCTCCTTTCTCCACCTCTGCTGCTAAGCTGTGCAGTCAGCGAGGGGACAGAGCCCTCTCTGCAAGGTGCACAGTGAGCACCAAGTACAGCAGCTCAATCTTTCTTGCTTGATTTCAGCTCACTGCAAATTCCAGCGTGCAGCTGGGCAAAGTCTGCTCTTTTCCACCATCTTTGCTCTCTCCCAGCAGATCTGAGCTCCCTCACTATCCCATACGATGAGGAGGAGGAAGAGCTCTACAATGACGTGGGGAGTTCTGACTCCATGACCACAGCATCTCACAACACTACCCTGAATCAAGATGACGGGATGGAAGAAGATGACATCTATGAGGTTTTTCCAGGTAAGCAACAAAATGATGAGGTTAAAACCCAAGCCGTGCCCTAACTTTAACCCGGCAAACATGGCAGGAGACCTTGGCCAACAAACACGTCGTGATGGGAATGAACATCTCAGGCTCTGCTGAGTTTAATAGGCCTATAACTCAAAGGAGCAGCTCGGTTTCTTTGTTCAGACTGGCTGATGGACTACAAGAACAAACCCCTTCTGCTCTGGCGAGATGGGGATTTTGTAAATTCAAGTGAGGCAGCTCCTACTGGGCTGTGTTACCTGGAGAATCAGAGTTAGATGATGAAAATGCTCCCTTCTGGGCATGCAGTCATGGCTGTAACATGATTACTAGGCTTCCAAGAGATGATAAAATAACTGCATTAAAGACCAGCGCTTGCTCGCTAGCAGCGCAGGAGGCCTGGAGGCAGCAGGGCTGTGGCTGCTGTGAGAGAAGCCAGGAGCAATCTCCTTGGCACAGAAAAGGCCGGAGAGGGGTGACATGATCTGCAACATTTCTCACTGGTGCAGCAGAAATCACAGTGCAACATGCCCTAGGGCTTGGTCAGGGGGTCACCTGAGCCTGATCCAAACACACGCTGCTCTGCCTCTGTGCCGAGGTTGGCGCTGCCCAACACTGTACCCCCATCCCTCTAAGGTGAGGTTGCTCTCTGTCTGCATTTAGAGGTGCAAAATGGGTTATTTATTCTTATTTCTTCTTGTTTCTTTGTATTTGTAACTATTAAAAAAAAAAAAATAAATGTACCAGGAAGTATGCTGGTGCACAAGGAGGAAATCTCTGCTTGGCAAGTGGCATCCAGGCAGCTGCAGGGAGCAGAGCAGGGGCTCCTGGGCTGCCAGCACAACCCCAGGCAGCCTCAGCTCCTGTCTACCTTCATCTTTCCTTCCCAACCTTTTCCTTCTCCGCTTACATCATCAGCTCTTTGGGCTGCAGTTCTCTCTTCCTCACCTGCAGTGATTCCTGCACTCAGCAGGAGCCTCTGCTCTGCAGTTCCAGGTGCATGTGAAACCCGAAGGGGTTCAGCATCCCTTGCTGCTGTGGCAGCTGCATCCAGCTCCTCGCCGCCCTACGGCTGCCAGCAGCAGCTACAGAGCAGATATCAGATGTGAGATTTGTTCCAAATGGGGCTGATGGTGATCCTGGCATGAGCCTGCATTGTGCTGACCTGGGTACGGATCCTTCTGTTGCCCCTGCTCTGAGATGCAGAGTGCATCAAGAGCTGCAAATTTGCCGTGGGTGTTATTTGTGCCCTTTAAATGCGCTCAAATGCCCGCCTGTATTGCAGGGCTTTGGAGACTCCAGCTTTTGAGACAAGGGGCAGAAGACCCTTGAAAGGTGCCCACATCCCATGGCCATTTCCTAACCCTCCTGCAGCCTTCCTGGGCTCCCTTCTGCTTGGCCTAAGGCATGGGGAATGCAGGGGGATTTCTGCCCCAATTCCCAGTGCTCAGCCCCTTGAGGGTGAAAGCACAGAGATGATGAGCAGGAGCAGGAATGAGGCAGTGAGGAACCAGGCACAGAATGCAAACAGTTGGTCGGAGCAATCCGCTCCCCCCAGGTACATCCCCATTGCACCTCTCACCCCCCAGAAATATGGGAGAGGGTCCCCATCCAAGCTGGGGGCTCCTCTGGGCCCGACCCCCTCCCTCGTGTCCTGAGTGCAATAGAGAGATAGAGAGGGAAAAAAAGGGAAGGGGGGAAATGAAGAGATAATTTCCTCAGCAAGTCATCGTCGTTAATGAAGTTTTACAAAAACAGATACAACCAAGGAAAAATAAAATTTCACAGGTGATAAATTTTTCCAATTTCCCTGGCAGAATTCGATAGGATTGTTAAATTAAGAGTGAAGGTGTCTGTTAGGAAGCAACGAGCAGTGATGGGTAATTTTATAGAGTGGAAAATTGAATCAAATTGCTACATTAAAACACAGCTCCTCTGAGAATGTGCCCAACGCCCAGGCTGCTCCGGCACAGCAGTGGGGCACACGGTGCAATGGCCACGCACAGGGATGGGATGGGGTCTGCCAGGGGGGTCCCAGACCCCAGGGTGGCTGCCCCATAGGGATGGGCTGCCCTGGTAAATGCATTCCCCAGGGATGGTGTGGTTGAGGCTGTGGTGCTCTGCACAAGGAGGTGGGATAGTGAGAAGCGATGCAGACCCCAGGAGATGCATTTTTTCAGCCATTCCCTCTGATTTGCCGTGGTAAAATCAAGATATTGACCAAAATCAAACATCCAGGTTCTGAAAAGGCAGCAGTTTACCTTTGTGGATGTGATTCAGACGAGCACCTGGCTGCACGAGGCTGAAGGGCTGCCACATGCAGGGGAACTTGTTGCATCCCCACAGCCACCTTCGCTGCATGCACAGAGCAAAATCTGCACGGATGGTGGCTGGAGCCCAGACACAGATCTGTGCAGATGCAGCTCAGCAGCATGCCAGGCTCTGCGCCTTCACCAGGGCCATCCATCCTCACCATGTTTTGCTGAGACATCCCAGGCAAATCTCCTTCCTTCCCCCCTCCAAGCCTCCATCCATCACTGCCTTGCAGCCCACCAGCGCAGGGCAGCAGCTGTGGGGCTGAGCATAGCCTGGGGGCTTCCTCTGAGCACCTTTTGCAGATGGCACAGAGCAGTAATCACCGTGGCAAGGTGGAAAGAAGGGGAAACTGAGGCACAGAGGTCTGAATGCATCACCGACTCCTCTGAGCTGCAAAGATCTCAGCTGCCAGGAGGGTGATACAAACGAGGGCTGTGTGGCTTCATTTCTGCTTGAGACTTGTCCCATCCCATCAAATACGGGGAAAAAAAAACCTGTGCAGGACACGGTGCCACCGCCACAGTGTTGGCAGACTTTGTATGGTGTTGCTCATGGAAATGCAGAGGTATTTCCACCACGCTTTGCCCTTTTCCTGCTGCCAGCTTCCCAAGGAGAGTTGTGTGTATGTGTGGGGTGGATGCACAGAGGGCTCTGGGGAAGGGGTTTCCTGAGGACAGCTCAGCTCCAGGGCTGAGGAAGCATGTGCAGAGATGGGATGGAAGGTGGGGGACACCCAGCAGAGCTGCAATGTCAGCTCCCCAAAACATGGTCCCATCCCATGGGGGTGCAGCAGCAGCACCCACGCTGGGGGCTCGATTTGGGGCTTTCATGGCACAAGGCTCAGTGGGGCTGACTCCATGCCAGGAGTGGATCAGGGGGCTGTTGGTTAAAGCATAAAGGAATCCAGATGTGAGGGCTGGGGAGCGTGCATGGGAAAAGGTGGAGGCAGAGCGGCGGTGCGGATGCATTTACATCCTCCTTTACAAATGCAAAGAGCAGGCCAAAGCCACTTTCAATAATTTATTTAAAAATCAATGCTAACGAGGTTCTGTCTCGTCAGTGGCCGAGTTTTACAATAAAGTCTGATTTATTTAGAAAAGATCTTCGGTGCCGCTTCCCATCTAATGGGGGAGCAGCGGCGGTGACCCTCCAACATGGGATCCAATTTGTGACTCACAGCGGAGCTCTGACCCGGTTTGCATTGATCAGAGCTGCGTGGGGGGAGACAGAGGGGCCACATCCCCACCAGGTGCCACAGGGAAGCGCTGCTTCTGAGCCACGTGGGATCAGCAGAGTGCCCAGTGCTGGCTCGCTTATGTCTTATTTAAACCTATTTGCACATGGACCCGTGTTTCTGACAGTTGCCATTCCCCAGCGCATCCCCACAGGCCCCCAGCTCACACTTCACCTTTCCAGCAGTATCACTTCTCTTTATTTTCTGCCCCCTTTCCCCATCCTGCACAGCTGTGCCGGTGGCTGCCTGGGTTCCTTTTTCTCCTCTCTGATTTCTGCTTCTGTTCACCATCCTCCCATGTGTTTCTGCCCTGGCATTTCTCCTCTCTGTCTCGTTTTCCCCAGGCTGCAGGCGCTGAACAGGAAAGCATCTCTTCCTATCGGGCACTTGGCAAAGTGCTGCTGAAATTTATGAGGCTATAATAAGTGATTTGTTTTTACCAGTGTTAACAACAATTCATATTTGGATGCAACACGTTTTAAAATATTATCCGCGACTTCCTCCCTCCCACTCTCCACAATTAAGCCAGGAATTTATTATTCTGACAGTCGGATGCTCTCCGCAGCCCAAGCCTGCGGGTTTGGTGCAGTGCTAGCAATGGCCTGGCACTGTTCTGTTGCACTCACAGCTCTCCCTGTGGCTTCTCTGCTCTGTTTTCCCCTTCCAGAGAAGGACCCCAATGTTCCTGAGGACAGCGAGGACGATGGCAGAGGGCAGCACCGCGGTAAGAGCCCACCCCACATTGGCCAGCTCTATGGATGTCCCAATGGAGGCAAGCAGGGGATGTGGAGGTGCGGGTGCTGGTGGAGGAGCACACATCGAGAGGAGGTGGGGCAGACATGACAGGAGATGAGGAAGGACGTGAGTCAGGGCTCAGAGGAAGCCGGCTGTGGGCACGGGAAGCCGGCCGGACGCTCAGCACCACTGCCGGAACCAACACCGCCCAGAGCAGGCAGCCCCAAGAGCCTCTCAGAGCTTCACAGGTTCCACCCCCCTGCTTTTTCCTTAGGGATCTGCACCATGGGATGGGAGCGGAAGGTCTGTTTCCTCCCCGGTCCCACCTGCTTCACTTTCCATCACCGCTTCCATCCTGGCACAGGAAAGCAGTGCTCGTGGGTTGGGCTGGGACCTTCCTGCCTTGCATACTGCTGGCCCAGCCCGGCGGGGGCCCTGAAGGGACACGCATAGCCTGGAGATGCTCAGCCAGGGGGTGGCAAATGTGCTGGCACTCACAGCATGGAGCCGTTGGGTCGCAGGGAGCAGAGGGGCTCATCGGACAGCAGGTGCCTGGGTTGGCTTCACACGTGGTGGGGCATTCTTGGAAGCACACAGACACCCCAAGCACTGCTGGGTTACTCCCCCAGAGGGGCTCTCAGCTGTCCTGCAGCCCCATGCCCAGCTTCCCAGTGTTCCCATCTCAATGCAGGGTTGAGTCCTTGCTCTCTGCAGACAACGAAGCAAACCAGCGAGCCCTGTGCCCTCACACTGCTTGTTTCCCACCTACCCCCACCCCCAGCACGATGACTTATTCAGCCACTGGAGCATGTGGCCGTGACAGCAGCGCCCAGAGCTTGGAAAAACGACCTCCTCATCTTTATAAACTGCACCACCATCGTCACACCTGCATCCCTGGGGACTCCTGGGCACGGGCTGAGGAAAGCAGAAGGAGCTGGGACATGCACTGCAAGCACACATTTGTCTTCACCTTCCACAGCACTCCCAGCATCTCAGAGAGGAGCTGCCTTGGTTCCCTTGCAGGAGCAGCGTGCTGGAGGGTTGGGGGTGACCCAAGGGCACCCTGATGGTGCTGGCTCCACCTATCCCAGCTCTGCACACTTTTTAATGCCCTGCTTGTACTTGTTAGCATCCTCCTGACATCTGTGATTTTTGTTAAGCGTCATGGCCGGTTTCATTATTAGTGTGGTCATGATTGCTTTGGGTCCTGTGTCTGTTTCTATGCTAAATAACACGTGAGGCTCCTGCCTCTGAAATGCTGGGCTCCATTTCAAGAGCAAAAAGTTCTCACAGCTCCAGGAGTCCCAGCCCCTGTGCCTTCAGCCTGGGATGTTTGTGCTGTGATCCAACTGGACGAAGGGTGAGGGGATGACAGCAGCCCTTGAGCACAGAACTGGGCTGGCAGCATACAGCCAAAGTGCCCGATGAGCATTTGGAGAATGGAAAACTATTATTTGTCATTTCTAAGAACAGCAAAGATGCCACAAAACCGAACCAGCCCAGCAAATCCAACCAGGAGCTGCGGGTTGCTCCAGCCAAGATGCCTGTTTGCACAGCTCAGGCTGCTCGGTCCCTTCCTGCCTTCTATGCCTGACGAGCTGCTGCTGCCACGCAGCCTGACCCATCAAATACAGAGAGCAGAACTCCTATCCTCAGAAAAACAGAAGAGCCCCGAAGCTTGTCTCCTGCAATGAGCATGGCGGGAGGTTTCACCTAGCAGAGAAAGCCACCGAGCTGCAGACAGTTGTCATCAGGCTTCAGCATCAACAGGCTGCCAAAGCCACGAGCCCAAAGCAGAGGGGTTGGGGCAGGAGCTTCTCCCCCAGCCCTGCTTGGGGCTCCTCGGGCTGCGGAAGGCAGTGACGTTTGTTGTCACATTTGGCTGATTTCCTTCGTGACCCCGAGGCCCATAAACGTGGGAGGAGGCACTCGCCCCACTTACATCAGTGTAAATCAGTCACACTCACGTCGTGTCTCTGCCCTGAACGCAGGTTCAGATCTGCAGGCAGGGCACCTGGGACAGCTGCTGTCCCATTGGGACCCCGCAGAGTGACATCTTCCCTTTCCTGGCCTTATGTCCGAGTGCTGACATGGATCGGGACCCCCCTCACTGCACACCACCTTAATTTGAACACGATATTCTCAACAGCTTGCACAAACATCTCGCTTTTGAAACTGTGGCTCAACGCAGAGCCGCGCTGCGCTCTCATCACCAGGCATTTTCATGCAATGCAATTAATGCTGACCTTTGGAAGGAGGTGCTGGAGCGAAGGCTGAGACCTTTTCCTGGACCAGTGGACATCACTGGAGTAAATAAGCAGTCCTGCTTCACAGGACCGCTCACAGCAGCACCAGCCTGCATGACGTTCTCTGCATCACGGTGCTGCAGTGACCTTTGGTGGCACTTACACCATTTTCTGCCTGCTGCAGAGCTGCTGCCTGCTTCGTCCTGCTCTGTGCCCCAGGACTTCCTCTGCCTCCAGTTCATAACCTCTGCTTCCTGCACTTTGCACAAGCTTAAATAACTCAGTAGCTCCTTCTCCTTCTATTCCCTTCACAATCTTTTCCTCACCACTGTGTGCTCCCCCTTTAATACTTTCCAAAGGATGCAGACCTACTTTTTTTTTTTTCCTTCTTTTTTTTTTTTTTTCCCCAGCCTTTCTATTTAAGTTCCCCAAGTCCCTGAGTCATTCCAGTCTCTCCCTGCTGCACCATTATCCATCTCTGTAATGTCCTTTTTCATATTTAGGTGATCAAATCCGGGCACAGCACTCCAGATGCACCCTTATCACTCGGTCCCTTATACCATATTAGAAACATTTCCTCCAACATGTGCTCGATATTTTCTATTTATGCTTTCTGGGCTCGGTTCAGGCAGAGCAGCACAGTGCATTGGTGCAACGCCGGTGCTCAAATCCCCCCCCCTGCACAGTGTGGTTTTATTGGGTTTAATTATTCACAGGGGCCTCATCACGGAGGTGCCCGTGTTGTGACATCTGGATTTCCCCCCCTCCTCCACCCCCACATCGGTGCTGCACCACCAGGAAATGTCCTGCATGTCTGAATGGTCATTTTGTGTGCTTGGAAGCCAGGAATGTGATTTTGGGGTGTGTTTATGACGCTGCCATGGATCTGTTGGATGTGTTGGGATGAATCCCTTCCCCAGCCTGCAAAGTAGGGCAGCATCTCCAGGTGCGTGGTGTTGGCTGGTCTGGTCCCATTGCACAGTGAGATGCTCTCTGCCCCTTTCCAGGGACCCACTTTTCACATTGGCTGTGGTCTCTGGGCCTGCATTGGATGGGAAATGCTGTTCTGAAATGGCAAAGATGGAAATGTTTCCTTCTGGAAATGCTGCTGCTCCATTTTCCATCCGACCCACACGGACATTTATCCAAGGGCAGTCCCCAGCCTTGGCATGCAGTTTGCTGACAGTTTCACCAACACAAACCCATGACTCCCAGCACAGAAAACCATTTTGCCTCCTTCCAGAAAGGAGAAAACAAGACTTTGCTGGTTCATAATGCCCCTTCCAGCCTGCGGTCCACAGCCGATGAAAAGACTGAGGCCACTGTGCAAAATGGCACCAACACCTCCTTGTCTTCCCCCCACATACCGACTGATTCCAGCTCCTACCCTCAGACCCCCACACCCTGACCCCAATATTTCCCCAGTTACCCCCCATCCCCCTGACCTTTCCTTTGCTCTGCAGGAAGGGATTTTGCCAATTACTACCAGGGCGTGTGGGACTGCAGCGGTGAGCACCCCAACGAGCTCTCCTTCCACCGCGGGGACCTCATCTACATCCTGAGCAAGGTAGGGCCCTGCAGCCCAACGGAGCTGCTGGGGAGCTGGGGGGGGGAGCAGAGAAAATCAAAGCATGGGGATACGTCCTAATTAACAGAGCAGGCAGTGGAATGTTGGGGTCTAGCTCCCACATGCACATAGCAATGGGTCCCCAACCCTGTGAGTTCCCCCCTCCCCGCAGCCAGTTCGTGTCCCCGCCGTCACCCCTTCTTGCCTGCGGCCCTCACCGCCTTCTACGTTCACGTGTGGCATCAGAAATGCCCCAAAGCAAGATTTTCTTCACGGTAATGGAGCCTGTGCGTGCTGTTGCTCGGGTATTACAGGGGTAATTGAGTTGCTCAGCCGGGTGTGAGCACAGCTCTCTCCAGCAGACACGCGCAGGTGAATACATCAAGTGGTTGCAAGAGCAGGGCAGGGAGCTGTGCTGTGCTGTGACCCTTCCAGCCCCGTGTATCCCTGCAGGGCTCCCAGCTGCTCCCAACCGGACTGCAGTGGCCCTGGCTGGGATGGCTGCACTGTGTGAGTGGCACTGAACCGGAGGGGGGGGGGGGGTTCACTCACCCACCCCCATGTACCCACATGGTTGATGTTGGACCCGTGGTTCTGAAGCCCTGCTCAGCCCCACGAAGGCAGCTGCATCTTTGGCAGCAGCAGAGCACGGCTTTTATTCTCGTCTTTTTCTGGAAGGCTGAGAATTTCCCATCTGTGGATCTCAAAGCGCTTTTTACGGCTGCATTTACTGCCTCTGCCCCCCCTGCTGCTTTACAGCAGCAAGATGAGCCTGCCATGCTCCAGGCCTGAACCCACAGCCCGGGCTCATCCCTCCATCTCTAGGCTTACAGCAGCAGCAGCAGCTGGCCGACGTCCCACATCCCCATGCAGTGCCCGGATTGGGGCACAGTGCTGCCCTGCCAGCGCAGGGACACAGCTTGGAGGCTCAGCGGGGTTCTCTCTCTCTTCAGTGCCTCCAGATTGTGACTCTTGTGCTGGCTTCCTCACACGTAACCGATGGGTCCTGAGAGCTTTCCCCCCGTAAATTACTTTGTGCGACGGATGCTCGCGGCCGCGGCAGAACCGAAGTGATGGGGGGGGGTGGGGGGAGGAATGCAGGGAGAGGCGAGCGGGGGGGAAAGGTGTTTGAAAAGCCTGTTCACTCAGCTGCATTTTAATTTCCTTTTCAATCTTGTCCCAATTAATTTCGCAGAATTAATCTCACAGAAGCAAACTCGGCAGCGTCGAGGCTGCAGTTTTGAGCGGTGCGGTCGCTCTGTCTGAACATGAAATAGTAGCTAATATAAAAATCCATCTGGTGTGTTTGAAACACATGCCGGCTGCTGCTCGGGTCCTGTCTGACATTTCCAGCAGCAACAGCGGGGAAAAGTGATTTGGGGGTTAGTGGACATCAGTAGCTGGCAGGGATTCAGCAGCAGGGCGTGGGGTGGGCAGGGGGGGCTGCAGCATGCTGGGCAGGGATGGGTTTGTCCCCAGGACAATTGCTTGGAGCCATTCCTCACCTGGGCACCTGGGTGAGTGCATGGTTCAGGGTGTGCAGGGCTTATGGCTGCAGGGTCTCTCCTTGCCGTGTGTCCCAGGTCCCTGTGCAGAGCCATGCAATGCAGACAGCACGGTCCCACGGGTGCAGGGCGCCGGGCTGTTGGGTGCTATGGACACAGGAGCATCCCTCAGGTGCTGGCTCCCTCACTACAGCTGGCACCTGAGGGATGCGGGTCCCCTCTCTATTCACCCCCCTGGTGCCACCAGGTTTGTTAAAGCATTGAGGATGGATACAGAGCCCGTCACCCCATCGCATAGAGACCCCAAAATGCTGCCGCCCACCCGGTGTGTGTGTATGGGGATGGGGGGGGGGGGGGAGACTGACAGCCACGGGGAGGGGGAAGCCATCATCCCAGCAGAACACCGTGTCCTTTCCCACAGCCCCAATCCCCGGTCCCTCGGCTGAGTGATTTGTACGTTATGATAATTATCCGAATGCAGCGAGACTTCCTATTTTAAGTGGGCTTAGTTGGATGTGACAAGCAGGCCATAAAAGCGGATAAGTTAATTCTCTCAATTGCTTTCAGTGAAGGCGGG